AAAAAAGAAAAGAAAAAGAGTTGTATCAGCTACACCCTGAACACATTTGCATGTAGAGTTTTAATGTCGTACACCTTGTGTTTGTTGTCACTTATGGTGTTAAATGCACATTGATGTTCAAAACTCAAATTGGTTTGCAGCCTTTGTCCCAGTTTTCCTTAGAATCTAGATACTCGTAGTTAGTAGGTTGTTGACATTGCATGTGAACTTCAGTTTCTTAATTGACAACCTCAGATCACATGATTTGTGCCAAAAAGGATGCCATCTGTAGCAATATTGCGTGACATATAATGTCACTCATCAATGCATGACTAACGCCATTTATCTGTTGCCTCTAGTAGTTGTGGATATTTGTGATTTAACTCTGGTAGTTACACTTCCGTAATGTCGGTTACTTTGTTTTTTTATTTTTGGTTAGTTGGACGGTATTAGCTTTAAAAAGTTGAGTAGGTCATTTCTCCCTCCCTCTCTCTCTAGAAATGGTGTTGTTTTTCCCCCTTCCGTCAATTCCTTTAAGTTTCAGCCTTCTATGGATAGGGCCTAGTGAGCAAACAGTTGGGACTCATGTAGCTTGAGAGGTTGGGGGAGGTCTTGTTACTACTGATAAGGTTATTTGTAAGTTACTTTGGTTTATGGATACAATGTAACTATGTATGCTGATTGCATTTATATTTGTACTGCTGCTCAACATTGGTGGATGTGAATCTGGGTGAGGTGGGGGTCTTTGATGATATGAGAGCAAATAATGTAGAGTGAAAATAAATGTTGAGGATGAAATCTTACCCACACTCCTTTTTCTCTGCATGTCAAGTCCAATAGAAGTAACCAGATTCTTTGATAAATTGGAATGGCAAAGGAGGAGATACTCAGTTCACGAGAAAATAAGAGTTATGATAAAAAATAAGGATACAAAGATTGACAAAATAGTATATACCATATGTTTTCTGCGCTTTCTGTTTTGAAGTATCAATAAAACACTTAAAAACATAAAAGTATGCAATTTTTCTTTTGATTAAAATTTGTACAGATTTTGTCTTCAGCTTTCTTGTCCTCATTAAGTTCCATCTTTTGATCACATTCAATTTACCCATTTTCTGGCAGGTACATCTACCTGGAGGATTTGATGTGTTTCATGGAAGAAGATGAGGCTGTGAAGACCATGAGTCTCTTTGAAGGGGCAGCTGAGAACAGGAGAATCAGCAAATCTTCCTTGAAAAATTGGGTGGTAAGCTTCATGTGCCTAGTGTTACTGGACTCAGAACCAAACCCCGTTAGGTTTGGTTTAGTTATTTTGGTTGCTTGACTTATCAACTTAGAATTCCAAAATAGGAAGACAAGAAAAGGTGAGTACAAAAACTTCTGCAGCCCATCATTGAGAAACCTAACAGCTTGAAATCATAGGCATTGAAAAATTTCATGTATGAACATGAACATAACTGCGTATAAGACTTTCATGTTGTGGTGTTTAATACCTCTATGCCTTCAAAAAATGCCTGAACTTGTGTTTATTAGCTTGATAATGTGCTGTCTATTTGTTCCAGGTCTCTGCCTTCAGAGAACGCAGAGCACTTGCTTTGACACTGAATGACACTAAAACGGCTGTGAACACACTTCATCGTATGGTGAACGTAATAGTTGCCATTGCTATAGTAGTTATATGGCTTATTGTGCTGGGAATTGCCACGACCAAATTTCTCTTGTTTGTGAGTTCTCAGCTTGTGGTTGTGGCGTTTGTCTTCGGTAACACATGCAAGACGATATTTGAGGCAATGATATTTTTATTCGTGATGCACCCATTTGACGTCGGAGATCGTTGTGAGATTGGTGGAGTTCAGGTAAATTTTCATCTTTACCTGCATCACATTCTATGCAAATTTGTTCATTTTCATGTCTGGGGCCTAATTTGTTTATCAATGACTCTCAGATGGTAGTTGAAGAAATGAACATCTTAACTACAGTTTTTCTGAGGTACGACAACACGAAAATCACGTATCCGAACAGTATCCTTGCAACTTTGCCCATCTTTAACTTCTATCGTAGTCCGGACACGGGAGATGCTATTGAATTCTCTATCCATATATCTACTCCAGCAGATAAGATAGTTATGATGAGACAGAGAATAGTCAGGTACGTGTAAATATCTTTTGCTACTTCCTACTTTAGATTGTGGTGGGTTAATTTTTTTTATCTCTGATTGATAAATTGTTTCCTATGGTTGCAATTTCAGTTTCATTGAGGGCAAGAAGGAGCACTGGTATCCTGAACCGATGATCATAATGAAGGATGTAGAAGAACTAAATAAGATAAAGTTTGCAGTGTGGCCAACACATAGAATGAACTTCCAGGACATGGGAGAAAGGTGGGTAAGAAGAGCCTATGTGGTCGAAGAGATGGTACGGATTTTCCAGGAGCTTGACATTCAGTACCGTCTGCTGCCTCTTGACATAAATGTCCGTGCAATGCCTACCATGACAGGCGGTCAGCTTCCTTCTAATTTCACAGCAACTACAAGCTGAGTGAGGAAACAAAAAGGATGTCCATGTGTACTGATATAATCTTTCCACGAAACATATATAGATCCTTATACCACCCCCCTTGGGGGCATTTGTACAACCACAGCGATTTAAGTGCATGCAGCAGGATCCTTTAAAGAATGGAGGAGAGGATGATATCCGTTGGATTTGGTTTGACGGGTTGATCTCAAGTTAGTTGCCTTCAATCTTTGAACTAAAGCAAAATGGAGGGATTTGTCTGTTTTGTTTGATTTTGCAGATAGCAGTGGCTAATTAGAGCTGTTACTATTCTTTCTCTCACTCTCTTACTCTCTCGTATCGTCTTCATCTCTCTATTTGTCTATGCATATATTTGTAACTATATCTATTTAGTTTGTTTAAATTTCAATTGCCAGTTCAGTAGAATACCTAAAATCCGACTAAAGTTGTGCTATCTCAGTTCACAAACTATCTTCTGAATCATCTCTCTAATAATGTTAACTTCACCTCATCTCTCTAATAATGTCCCGCACTTATTGCTCTAGTATCATTTTAGTTCATCAACTAAATTTTTGATTTCAATGGTCGTTCAACTCTTCATTTGGTATCAAAACAGTCCTACCGTCAAAGTTGCCAATTTTATTGTTAAATTGAGGGGTAAAACCGTCCATATAAACTAAAATATTAATGAAGTAAACCCCATCTCAGCTCTCTGCTCTCCCCTTCCACCCCCTTCCCCGACCTCTCCTCTGTTTTTTTCCTCCTCTACGATAACATAAGCAGCAACCAACACAACATGACTCTGCCGTCTACGGTCCCACGTGGCGCCTTCTCATCTGCAACCTCACCTAGTGAGGCCTGCAAATGGGTTCTCAACATCCTAGAGGACCGGCTTTTGCAATACTCGTCAGAGTGGTCGAGCATTTGCAATATGCCATGTTTTGCTTGTTGGTTTTGATGTGCTTTGGGGATAGATTGGATGAAAACCAAATCAAAGAAGTAGAGTGTGTTCAGCGTCCCTCGCTCTTAAGTTTTGGGCGATATCATTTCCTCAATTTTTTTGCCCAAATTAGAATCTTCCTCGCTCTTAAGTTTTGGGCGATATCATTTCCTCAATTTTTTTGCCCAAATTAGAATCTTGGGGCTTGGGGCTGGGGCTGTGGGTTGCCGCTGGGGATGAGGTGGTCAGGTCGTGAGGGAGAAAAAGCAGAGGGTTGTGTGGGGGAAGGCTGAGATGGGGGAGGTTGCGGAGTTGGGATGCAAGGCAGTGTTTTTGTATAAATCTGGTTTTGTTTATTCTTTTAAACTTTTTTTTTTTTTGGTTGTATTTATGTGATTTTAAATTTTTTAATTAATTTAAACAATAGAGCCCATTTTATTATTATTAATTGTTAGGTCAATCTCACGAAAAAAAAGCCATGCGGCTAGTGAGATTCAATTTTTTAAAATTTTCTAAGTTTTATAATAATTTCCTTTATTTTTTAATTATATATTACTATTTTAATTCATAAAGACATTTTTACCGCTCAGTTTAACAAGAAAATTGACAAACTTTGACGGTTGGACTGTTTTGATACCAAATGAAGAGTTGAAGGACCATTGAAATGAAAATTTTAGTTGGTGGATCAAAATGATATTGGAGCAATAATTGGGGGATTATCTTGGTCAATAACCCTAATGTTTATATTGAGATAATAATTAGTTTTGTAATTCCTCAAAAGTAATCGAATAGAAAAAAACAACACAAACGCAGTTGTGGGTCAGGTTAGTTGGCCAGGACCCGGAGTAGCGAGTCCGTATTCTTATATTCTAACGAGTTCTAGCCAAGTGGAAAAATGTTGATTTACAAAGGTCTCGGTTCGAACCTTGGTGATGTGTGTTTGAGCAATCCCCCCCTTAGGTTGTGTTTGGTTCATGAGAAATTAGGCTTGGGGATGGAAAATAATTGCTTTCCCATGTTTAGTAAGTCCAGACATGAGAAATGAATGTCTGGAACATGAGAAAATAGGGGGGAAAATGTAATCGTCCTCCCCCCTTAGGTTTTATTTTCCTCCTCATGGAAAAATTTGGGAAAACTTGCCAGCATTAAATGCACACTTTTCATGACTATTTTGTTCCTATTAACAATTTAGAACTACAATATAGCATTAAATGCATCCTTTTATTATTTGATTTCATATGGGTATAATTAGAAAATTAAACAAACTTTGTTTTACATTCCTACACAAACCAAATAAGAGAAAGGAAATAAAGTGGTATTTCCTGATTACTTTCGCAACATTACCAAACATGAGATGGGAATTTCTCATCACATTATTTCCGTGAACCAAACGGGGCTTTATCGTTTAGACTATTGCTTGTATTAAAAAAAGAAAAAGAAAAAAAGAAGTCGATTATGTCATCTGATTTGGACCCAAAACAGCAGGCCCAGCCCAATAGATAAGGGACGACGGAAAGTGATTGTGTAAGACTCTAGTGGATGCTTTGCTCATAGTCAGGCTCATAGTCGGTGAGTGTATGTAGTTCACTTCGAAATTGGGAGGGAAGAGAAGAGAGATAGAGAAGAAGAGCATGAGGGAATGGCAAACCTGTCGAGCCTCCTTCACGAGCTCCGAGAACGCATAGCTGCCACCTCAGCCACTCCTCCCAACCACGCCGATGACGACGTTTTGGATGCCCGATTCCGCGCCGTCCTCCCTAACCTCCTTCACGCCTACGTCGTTCCATCTCCCTCTGGTACACTACCCCTCACTCTCTCTCTCTGGCTTTCTCGCACAGTAAGTACAATGCGACGACGTTTTTGAGTGTGATTTTTCCATTGTTTGCAGCCAACGAGAGAGAAGTGACAGCTGTGTTGAAGCTCATCGCTCACACCGCTAGGAACTTTCCCGGAGTGTTTTACCATGGAAAGGCAAGCGCAATTCTTCCTCTGCTCGGCCGCATCTTGCCTTTCTTCGCAGAACCGGCGTTTCGGTAAGTGGTTCGTTCATAAAGTTAATTTCTTTTCGGTTTGTTTCGGTTCGGGAAAAATGAAAAGTGTGGAAATAAATTTGGGGATTGAAATAGGACTCATTCTGCATTAACACATGTCATTGCTTTTTTGTTGTGATTTTATGATTGAAATGTAATGTCTATTGTTTTAGTTCTCGGCATAGTGTCATCTTTGAAACCGTTGGATCACTTTTATCTTTACTTCGTACCGGTGCACGGGATGCGTACCGTCAGTTTTTCATTGACTCCATGATCGTTGTTGAAGGTAAGGACATAATTTTTTTCAACAACTTGGTATGATCAGTTAATTCCAAGACATACCAAGTTTATTTGGTTTTCCTTTACTGATCATATTAGCGGATAGCTTGGGATACGGATTTATATTTTTGCTTGAACTACTTTGGTATCATTTACCTTCATAACCATACAAGAAAGCTAAATATGTCTTTGTCTTCATTCAGATCTTTTGTATGTGGCATCAGTATGTGCTGACGTTTCGAATATTACGGAATCAACTAAATTGACTTTAAAGTGTTTTTGTGAGTCCTTCAATGCAATTTTGGATGATCCTGATCATCTTGGAGATCTCCCGGCAAGTAATAAACCGAATGACGGGATTGGTATCTTGATTAACCTTACGGGCAAAATAAGGTGGCAACCTTTTGCAACATGGATGATAAAGCTTCTTGGTAAATGCTTAACTGAAGGAACTCTGTATGTGGAAGGACTCATTAATGTGTCATTTGTTACGGCTGTGTGTTCCATTCTATGCTATGGAGATGCTGATGTGCATATGGTGAGTAGCAATTGCTTTATGTTGGCGTTTTTAGTATAAAATTCATCTTTATGATGCTGGTGCAACTTGAAAGAATTCAACAAGCTGATAATGCTTTCAACGACTTCAGATATTTAAGCAGCCTGTTCTACAAATTTCTCACTATTTGAATTTTATGCAAGGCATGTTTTGAATTTGCATGCGTTGTTGGATCAGCAATAAATTATGACATCATTCCTCATCAGAAGATAATTCAGTCGATATCAACTATATTAAGGGAGGACAAAGAAGGGCTTCCTGTATTCAGGTCTGTCTTTGAATGCTCAAAACTTAAAGCTGTTTGCTATTAACATTTTATTTAAGAATGAGAAGTGAAAATCACCCTGTGGAATGAAAACTCAAAACAGCTTTTCTCTGTCTGTAACATTTACGATGGTACTTTTTGGAGTTAAAGTTTATGATTGATACCGTTTAGTAGATAAACAAGTTTATGCTTCATTATCTTCGATTACCCATCAATGCATGTTTGGCTTTCCCGGAAGGTCAAATTGATTAGTATTGATTTTATATCCCCTTAGTGGTTGAATTATGATAAACATCTTATGCATTCAATTGATTTTATGATGCTGCTTTTTAGTGGTTGTAGACCTCTCTCATTAGGTCCTTTTCTTTTATGCATTCTAACTCAAACATCTTATGTAGATTCTTAGGGTCTTATAGTTTTCAGCTGAGCTTCTTTTTTTCATCATAATTTTCACTAATTGGAAAGCAGTTGTCTCCGAATTGGGTTTATATGCAATTTTGATAGATAGGGAGTCTGCAGGCTGTAGTATTCAGAAGGGCTTCAAATTCATGATCATGCATGAAACAGAAGAGAAATTACTTTAGATGTGTAATTCCTGGTAATGGGCATGATGTGCTGGCTAGATATCATATATAGATAGGTATGGCAAACTTACTGGCATTAATGTGGTCTGGAGAACCAAAGTCGTCAATTCTATAGGCCATTGATACGTATAGTGGTCTTCGTGGAATAATAGATTTTCTTTCTGGGGCATTTTATTTTGTTGTCTTTGGGGAATGATAAATGAGATCCTTACATCTGGTATTATTTCCTAATTTTTACCTTGGTATGCCAATGAATTGCTGGGCTTACACTGCAGAAACATCATTTATGATTCGTCCATTGGTGGTTGCCTTGATGCATTACACTGTAGTTGTCCTGAAGATGTTGTCAAGCTAACAGCTGCCGATTTAGTTGATGTATTTCCTCATTCAATGAGGAGTACCAAAAGCCAGGAGCTTAAGGTTAATATTAACGTCCCATCTGTTGTCCTTGAGATAAATTTAACTTTATTTTGTTCTTGCCCTGTGAATTGCTAATTGATCCGAGGGATTGATTTGTTCTAGGGACTTAAATAATTTCTGTTTCCAGGTTGCATTGTGCAATGCATTTATGCGGATTGCGAAAATGTGCCCCCCTCATATCTGGAGGCCAGAGTCTCTCGTTTATGTCCTTTCTTGTCCAGAACCTTGCTTCTCGTTGATAGATTGTTTACAAGTAGCTCTCTCTATACTTGGTCCTGATCTTGTTGGATCGAGAATTGCAAATAGTAACTGTCAGAGTATATCAGCATTAACTGATAAATCAATTGAAAATTCGAGGGTTGGAGAAAAAAGGCCTATTCAGGATGTGGATACTTTCAAGATTAAACGTCAAAAGGTAGATAAAGAAATCATGAGTTCTGATTCTAATTTTCAGGTGGAGCGCAAATGTACTCATACAGTTGCTTGTGAAAGAGAAGATTATGCAGACTATATGCATCAGTCGCTTCTTTCTTTTGTTGAAATTTTAAAGTCTCCTGGTGTCAATCCTGATTCTTTAAGACCAGAGGTCTCATTAACAGCTCTTAGCATGCTTTGCATTGCCTTCTGTAGATACCCAGAGACCAATCTGTCACAAAGCATCTTTAATCAGATGTATGCATGGATACCCTGGGTATGTCAGCAGGTATGTTGGCTTAAACTGGTGGACTTATCATTAGCTTACTCAATTTCACCTACCACTAAATAGGGTTATATTATGTAGGCAAAGCGAGTGAATTCAGTTGCACTTGATATTTCCATCTACCTGGAAGGAATTCACAGCATGTTGCTTTCACAGAGTAAGGAGATGGACCTCATGAAAGATCTTGCTTTTGCGATATTGATATGTTATCTAATTTTTGGTTCTTAAATTCTATCAAGATAATGGATAATCATGTATGACACTTCTATCTTTCTCCCAGATGAAGGAAAGTCTTTATTCTTTTCTTTTCTTTTTCTAAAAGTATATTGGGTGTTGTATTTTGGCAAAGGCTGACTATCCAAGCATCAATCATCTCATTTTGTACACATACTTAATAATAATGCACCCTTGTTGAAATCATAAAAGAGGCACGACTTCATTTCTTGATTAAAATATCCCCTGAAGGTAAATCTTAGTTGTGTCAGAGATGCATTGAATGACTAATATCTTTTATATAAAGTGGGAATGGTGCCTTTTCTGTTGTTCCATTCTTTTTCATTAAAGGTTATACTAGCTCTCCAGTGTCTGGTTCTATGCTCCTCTCTCTCTCTCTCTCTCTCTCTCTCTCATACATATGATTCACACACTCGCACAACTTCTTCCCTTATTTCAAAAAATGCCAGGGGAAGTATCATTACCTAGATTTGTTTCCTTTTACCTTTTATTATGGGAGAGAAGAAAATACAAGGGTGAATTTGAGAGTTCTCTTTCTGTAGGGTGCTTGAAGTGGTTTGCTATTTATTGCACAAGATTTTCTTGAGTGAGTCTGCTCTTCTGTTTACTAATACTCTATTCTCGGGAGGGCTGGTTGTTGAGTACTAGAATTCTGTGCATATGCTATGATTCCATCATACTGAATGATAAATAATTTTATGTTTTTATTCAGGTCCCTTAGCGAAGGGGAGTATGGAGTTTGAAAATAAGGATGTTGATGCAGACCTTATGCATGTCGTAAAGCTTCCATGGACCCATTCTCTTGTAAATAATACTGGCCCTCATCATCTGTGGAAAGCTAAATGCACCTCTGTTCAAGTTGCATGCAAACTTGGTCATAGAACAAGAACTGAAACTCAGCTTGAAGTCTTGGATTTGAGCCTTAATGATGAATTTGAAGAAGTTAATATTGAAGCTATAATTTCGATGCCTGTGATTGTCATTTGGTCTGGTTTCAGTGGGCTGTCACCTATATTCAGAAGGCTTGAGTAAGAGAACAGTTGAAGTTGTTCATTTACTTTTTGTAATAGTTTTCACATATGCTAGTACTTTATATGATCAAAATTCTCAATTTATGAGTATAGTGATAATGCTCTGGATTGGAAATGGGATCTTATAATGAAATGTCACCTAAGGCTTCATTGACAAAATAAAAGAAAATAAAGAACTTCTGTTCTTGCTTGAAAAATTATATCAGTTATCATGGATGGCCGTGTGCCGGAAAACAGTGTTACATAAACTGCATTTGGAAATGGTCTTTTGTTGATTAACTACTTTGGGTAGTGGTGGAGGGATGCATTTGTGGTTTTGGCTTGCACTATACCTGCGCTATAAGATTCTAGTCCTTTTGCTGTCAAAGTGATTGTAAAAGTAGTAAAGAAATTGTTCTTGTTGTGTGCTCTATGCTCATGAAACCATCAAAACTTCTGTTCATTAAAATACATTTTGTTTCCCACTTGCAGGTTCTTGAAGGGAGAGAGACCTGAGAAGGTTAGGAATATTATTCCCTTTTCCCTTGGTCTTTTGTCATGCCTTTATGGATCTTGTAATGATGGAGATGGCACAAATAGAAGCCAGTGTAAGTTAGTTTTAAATATGAAAAATGAGAAACATGGTCGAACAGCAGATTATTTACTGCAAGGATTCTGGTGTTCAAAGTGCAACAGAAGTGTTAGACAAAATACTGCGGTATATTCAAAAGTCATACGTCCCCCTGATATGAACAGCAGAGAAATGAGTTCAGATTGTAATTTTGCCCATCTGCAGTCTCTATTTCTTGAACTTCTTTATGATGAATCAGAAGAGGTTCAAGTTGCTTGTGTGAAAAATATTTACCGAATACTTGGACATGGGGGCAGAGACAATCTGATTAAGTCAAGATTTGAATGGATTAAATGTGTTGAATATTTACTCCTTAATGGAAAGAATGCTGTAAGAGATGCATTCTGCACCCAGATTAGTTCATTCCTTGAGGATTCTGTTTTGAGTTACTTATTTCTTGATGAGGACACATCAAATAAAAGTAAAGAAGAAGAGTTTTTTAACATAATCAAGCATGCCTTCTCAGAAACTAAAGATCCTCAAATCTTTGAGACTCTTTTGGAATCTACAGCAGAAATAATGATTGCAGTTGACATTCACAGTCAACTATTCTTGTTTTCTCTTTTTTTGTTGGTTGATCAGCTTGATAATCCACACATGACAGTGAGAATGAATGCATCAAGGCTGATACACAAAGCTTCCTACTTTCATCTGAAAGGGGGATTTGAACAAATCCTTTTGAACGTTGTCCACGTTCGAAATGAACTATTTGATTATCTGTCTGTGAGGCTGTCTAGCCGTCCAATTATGGTCAAAGAGTTTACAGAATCAGTTCTTGGTATTGAAACTGAAGATCTTGTCAAGAAAATGATTCCTGTTGTTCTTCCGAAGCTTGTAGTGTCTCAGCAGGATGATAAACAAGCACTTGACACCTTATATGAACTGGCTAAGTGCTTAAACACTGATTTGGTGCCTCTTGTAGTTAATTGGCTACCAAAAGTGCTAGCTTTTGTTCTCCATCGAGCAGATGTGCGAGAGTTAGCTGTTGCTTTGCAATTTTACCATACGCAGACTGGTTCTGACAAACAAGAGATCTTCGCTGCTGCATTACCGGCCCTTTTAGATGAACTCATATGTTTTTTAGATGGAGGTGATTCAGATGAGATAAACAGAAGGTATGAAGGTCTACTATCCCCCTGGGTTTTATTTTGGTCAGTGCATTCGGTGGGTTATAATGTTCTTTTCACTCAGATGCTGTCTGCACAGTTCTTTGTGGTACTTACCTTTTTTTACTGACTAGCGATGCAATGAATATCAGTAGCAGGGATATTTATTAATACAATTTTACTGCACAGCAACAGATGCAAGAATTATGCCAAGGTATTAACATGTCAAATATGCTTACAGGTTAGCAAGAGTTCCTGAGATGATAAAAGAGGTTGCGAGAGTTCTAACCGGTGGTGAAGATCTTCCCAGCTTTTTGAGGAATCATTTTGTTGGCCTTCTTAACAGTATTGATAGAAAGATGCTCCATGCAGAAGACTTTTCACTGCAGAAACAAGCCTTACAACGCATTGAGATGCTAATTAAAATGATGGGTTCTCACCTTAATACTTATGTGCCTAAACTGATGGTTCTTCTCATGCATGCTATTGGTAAAGAAGCCCTCCAGAGTGAGGGCCTGTCTGTGCTGCATTTTTTCATTGTGCAGCTGGTGAAAGTATCACCAGCTAGCACTAAGCATGTAATTTCTCAAGTTTTTGCTGCTCTTATTCCCTTTTTAGAGAGAGATGAAGAAAATCCCATACATCTGGATAAAGTGGTTAAAATTTTGGAAGAACTTGTGCTGAATAACAGGGTCATTCTAAAGCAGAATGTACACGAGTTCCCTCCGTTGCCCAGTATTCCAGCTCTAATTGAAGTGAAAAAAGCTATACAAGAAGCCCGAGGGTCAATGACATTGAAGGATCGATTGCGTGATGTTGTTGATGGTTTGAATCATGAGAGCTTAAATGTCAGATATATGGTGTTGTGTGAGTTGAGCAAGTTGCTGAGCCTGAAACAAGAAGAGGTTACAGCTCTGATAACTGCTGAAAGTGGTACAGATATGGATATTTTGAGTTCTTTAATCACATCCTTGCTAAGAGGATGTGCAGAAGAATCAAGGACTGCAGTTGGACAGCGGCTGAAGTTGGTATGTGCTGATTGCCTTGGGGCCCTGGGTGCCGTTGACCCTGCTAAAGTGCAGGGCTTTTCATGTCAACGTTTTAAAATTGAATGCTCTGATGATGACCTTATCTATGAGTTAATCCACAAGCACCTTGCAAGGGCTTTTAGAGCTGCACCTGACACTATAATTCAAGACTCAGCTGCATTGGCTATACAGGAACTGCTAAAGATTGCAGGCTGTGAGGCCTCATTAGATGAGAATGCTGCTGCATCTACATCAGGGACTCCAAAGGACAAAGAGCCTCTGAATGTTGATGCATCTGGGATTATGGGTATTGATGGTAGCAGTAAGATGAATAGAAGGGGTCAGATATTATGGGACCGCTTCTCCAATTATGTTAAAGAGATAATTGCCCCTTGCTTAACCTCTAGATTTCAACTTCCAAGTGTTGCTGATTCTTCATTTGCTGGCCCAATTTACAGGCCATCTATGTCATTCAGAAGATGGATATTCTACTGGATAAGAAAGCTGACTGCACATGCCACTGGTTCTCGTGGCAGCATTTTCAATGCGTGTCGAGGTATCGTTCGTCATGATATGCAAACAGCAATATATTTGCTTCCATATTTAGTTCTTAATGCTGTCTGTCACGGCACAGAGGAGGCACGCCATGGCATAACAGAAGAAATCCTATGTGTTCTTGATATTGCAGCATCTGATAACAGTGGGGATGCAGTTCATGGAGTTAATGGTGGGAAAAATGAAGTATGCATTCAAGCTGTGTTCACTCTCCTTGATAATCTTGGTCAATGGGTGGATGATATTAAACAAGAATTAGCTCTTTCCCAGTCTTTTCAATCAATGGCATCTAAGCAACAAGCATCCAAGACAAAGGATAAAATTCAAAACTCTTTGAAAAATCAAGATCATCTCCTCGTACAGTGTACATATGTTTCAAAACTGTTGTCTGCAATTCCTAAGGTGTCTCTTGCCAGGGCCTCCTTCAGGTGTCAGGCTTATGCAAGGTCTTTAATGTACTATGAGTCATACGTGAGGGGAAAATCAGGTTCTTTTAACCCTGCATCTGAGAGAAGTGGCATCTTTGATGATGAAGATGTTTCATATCTAATGGAAATATACAGCTCTCTAGATGAGCCTGATGGTCTTTCTGGCTTTGCATGTTTACGGAAATCTATGAGATTACAATTACAGGACCAGCTCTTAATTAATAAAAAGGCTGGAAACTGGGCAGAGGCTTTAACTTCTTGTGAACAAGCTTTGCAGATGGAACCAACATCAGTTCAAAGGCACTCCGATGTCCTTAACTGTTTATTAAACATGTGTCACCTTCAAGCCATGGTTACTCATGTGGATGGCTTAATTTCTAGGATTCCCCAGTACAAGAAAACATGGTGCATGCAAGGTGTACAAGCAGCATGGAGGCTGGGCAGGTGGGATTTGATGGATGAGTATCTTAGTGGGGCTGATGAAGAAGGTCTACTTTGTAGCAGTTCTGAAAGTAATGCCTCATTTGATATGGATGTTGCAAAGATTCTCCAGGCACTGATGAAGAAGGATCAGTTCTCAGTTGATGAAAGAATTGCCCTCTCGAAGCAAGCGCTCATTGCTCCTCTTGCTGCTGCAGGCATGGATTCTTATGTACGCGCTTATCCATTTGTTGTAAAACTTCACCTGCTACGAGAGCTTGAGGACTTTCACACTCTTCTTACTGATGACTCTTTCTTGGAGAAATCATTTCAATTGGGCGATCATGGATTCTCCCAAGTGATGGAGAATTGGGAAAACCGTCTCAGGTTTACACAGCCATCAATCTGGGCAAGAGAGCCACTTTTGGCCTTCCGCAGACTGGTTTTTGCCTCCAGTGCTCTTGGCGCTCAAGTTGGGAACTGCTGGCTTCAATATGCAAAGCTCTGTCGCATGGCCGGTCATTATGAGACAGCAAACCAGGCGATTCTAGAAGCCCAAGCTACAGATGCACCTAATGTTCACATGGAGAAGGCTAAACTTCTGTGGAGCACCCGGCGATCTGATGGTGCCATTGCACAGTTGCAACAGTCTCTCCTGAACATGCCTGTAGAGATTGTAGGCTCCTCTGCAATTTCATCAATTACTAGTCTTTCACTGGTTCCACTGAACCTGCCGCCTTTAGTTTGTGATACTCAATCTTTGAATGAGAATCGAGATATTGCAAAGACCCTTCTTCTCTATTCTAGGTGGATCCATTACACTGGGCAGAAGCAGAAAGAAGATGTGCTGAGTCTGTATTCAAGGGTGAGGGAACTGCAGCCCAAGTGGGAGAAAGGATATTTCTACATGGCTAAGTATTGTGAGGAAGTTCTTGCCGATGCCAGGAAACGTCAGGAAGAAAACATTGAACTTGGTCCAGGGAAAATGCCGACAAGTAGTGATATTGTTGGTTCTTCAAATTTAAAGACTGAGAAGCTTTGGTGGTCATATGTGCCTGATGTACTGTTATTCTATGCGAAGGGGCTTCACAGGGGCCACAAGAATCTCTTTCAAGCACTTCCAAGGTTGTTAACCTTATGGTTTGACTTCGGCAGTATGTATCTAACAAGTGGCACATCATCCGATAAAGATTTGAAAAGTGTCCATATGAAGGTAACTATTGTTATATTGAAGATGAACTTAATTTCTTTTAGCTACATTTAAACTCTGCTTTCTCCATTCTATATTCTCTTCTTATTTTGGTAGGTAATGAGTATAATGCGAGGATGTTTGAAGGATTTGCCAACATACCAGTGGTTAACAGTACTGCCACAATTGGTTTCCAGAATTTGCCACCAGAACGAGGAAGTTGTTCGATTGGTCAAAAACATCATTACATCAGTTCTTCGGAAATACCCACAACAAGCTCTGTGGATTATGGCTGCAGTTTCAAAATCTACTGTTCCTTCAAGGCGGGAGGCAGCTGCAGAAATCCTACATGCTGCACGAAAAGAGTTCAGCCAAGGAAATACTGGCAGCAATCTGTTTGTGCAGTTTGCAAGTCTGATTGATCACTTAATTAAGTTGTGCTTCCATGCTGGTCAGCCAAGGGCAAAAACAATTAATATCTCAACTGAATTTAGTGCCTTAAAGAGGATGATGCCACTGGGAATTATCATGCCAATTCAGCAATCTCTAACTGTTAGCCTACCAACATACGATGGGAAGCTCACTGACTCACTTAGATCTGATATCTTTTCTGCGACTGATCTTCCTACAATATCAGGAATCAGTGATGAGGCCGAGATTCTTTCATCCCTTCAACGACCTAAAAAAGTGAGTTCTTTTTCTGGATTTAGAAAATGCATGTAGTCATTTAACATGTTTCTGATTTTACATCTTATCATACTTGTATCTAAATTGGTTAATCTGTGGTATGCCATAGCAGGGTATATACCGAGAAGGCATCATATTTTACCAAATTACGTATGTATGTTGGTTTTCCTCTTAAATGTATATGGAATGACTGTTTAAAGTCGTGAACCCCACAACCCCCACCACCCTATGTCCTAACTTAATAAAGGAAGAGCTACAGTCAACAATCATCACCTGTTAATCGAATCTAAATTTATACGATGAGTCAATTATTGACTGGATAGATTTCCATAAAAGAGTTGTGCTAAAGCACAAAAACTGTGGATTTGGAGAAGATTTTGAAGGGGTTAGCTTTTGCTGTCGTCACTTGTGCATGTCCTGTTAACTGTCTGATTTTCTATGCTACGTTGCACATCATCTCTGTAATTTTCAGTGCTATTCTCTTTTGCGTTTCAGATTGTTCTAATGGGCAGTGACGGCATTGAACGTCCATTCCTCTGCAAACCCAAGGATGACCTCAGGAAAGATGCCCGCATGATGGAGTTCACTGCAATGATAAACCGTTTGTTGTCTAAATACCCAGAAAGCCGTCGAAGGAAACTCTACATTCGCACTTTTGCAGTAATTCCTTTGACAGAGGACTGTGGCATGGTAGAATGGGTGTCCCACACTCGTGGACTTCGGCATATACTTCAAGACATATATATAAACTGTGGAAAATTTGATAGGCAAAAGACAAATCCTCAGATCAAACGAATTTATGATCAATGCCATGGTAAAATGCCAGAAGATGAGATGTTGAAGGAAAAAATTCTTCCAATGTTCCCTCCAGTGTTTCATAAATGGTTCTTAACCACTTTTTCTGAGCCAGCTGCTTGGTTTAGGGCTCGGATTGCTTATGCACACACTACTGCAGTTTGGTCCATGGTTGGGCATATTGTGGGGTTGGGTGATCGACATGGTGAAAACATTCTTTTTGATTCTACAACAGGTGACTGTGTTCATGTTGATTTCAGTTGCTTATTTGATAAAGGCTTGCAGTTAGAGAAGCCTGAGCTGGTGCCTTTCAGGTTGACTCAGGTGAGAAAAGCGAATGGATGCATGTGGTTTCCATTGTGTTAAGTTTTCTTTACTTGCTAGAATTTTCAAATACTTTTATTTTAAGGTGCAAAAAGAAAGACCAACTAGAATATCAAAATGAGGATAAAATCTATGTTGTATGTTGATTATCAAAATAATATAACATGCGTGCCTCTACATGAACTAGAATGTTCTAGTGTGAGTACAATTAATACTTCATGATCTGCTAATGATGGTTATAAAATCATACCCAATTTAAATTGTTTCTTATTACCTGGGATTTTATGTTCATGGGGACTGTTATGAAACCTGCAGAATATGATTGATGGCTTGGGCATCACTGGTTATGAGGGAATCTTTTTGAGGGTCTGTGAAATCACACTTTCAGTACTGAGGATGCATAAGGAGACTCTGATGAGTGTTCTTGAAACTTTCATCCATGATCCTCTGGTGGAATGGACAAAATCTCACAAATTAAGTGGAGTAGAAGTTCAGAATCCACATGCTCAGGTTTAGATCTTTGGTTATATCATTTATCATTGTTGTTGTGACAGGTTTACTGTCACTTTTGTTCATTATAAATGTAAAGGTAGTGATGACATTTATTTATCATTTCCTAATTGAACCAAGTGGAGATTTTCTCTTCTCAAGGCCTGCCATGTCAAATTGTTGCAACTTGAGTGAAAACGTTTCTTAGAGTAAATTGCCCCAAGAAAACAGAATAACTCTCTATCATTATCACATTGATATTCTAGTCCAATGTAGTGTTTCTTGATCTGTCGTACGCAATATGCCACCTGATAGAATAAGGTGTTGGGAGCAAGGATTTCTTTATTAAACTATGATCTGAATTTCTTTAAATTTGATGCATCTTTTAACAGAATATCCACCTGATGAGTATGGACATATATTCAGGAGTAAGGAATTCTTGATAGAAGTAGTGATGCTGTTCCATTACACTTTTAAACGGGATTGATAAGTTTTGATCCTGTTCATGTTGAGATATGATCATAAATTCCCTAGATGTGGATGTTAGATCAGAAGTGAAACTTTAGCAATTGTGACCCATGGTTTGTAGTGTATCCATCCTGAAAATGCTAAACATGTTATAAAGATAGTGGTAAGTTTTTTGCTATGAAGCAATCACTAAATTGTGTTCTATATGAACATTGCAGCGAGCAATCAGTAACATTGAGGCAAGGTTGCAAGGAGTAGTTGTTGGTGTCGGAGCAGCACCATCTTTGCCTCTGGCCGTAGAAGGTCAGGCTCGTCGATTAATAGCTGAAGCAGTCTCCCACAAAAATCTTGGAAGGATGTATATCTGGTGGATGCCTTGGTTCTGAAGTTAAATTGATCAAGGGTTCTCCTGTTCTAGAGTTGAATCAACAAAGTCTTTGTGGGCTCGAGGATTTTCTTAAGCAGCCTCACAAAATATCTTAGGAATAGGCTTCGAAGGTTCGCTATGAAAGAGTCCTGTAGTGTATATTTTGTTCAGGTATGCTCTACTATTTCTCCGTCTTTAATCAATTTTATTTTATGCTAGTGTTTTTGGTATCGACAATGCAATGTTGAAGACAGTAGGTTAGGTAATTTCCTATTGTGTTTATCTTGAACCATTTAACACTGGCATTTCAACTTTTCACCAATAGTACATAAGGTGGAGGAATTAGTGTGGGTGACTTGCTAGTAGCTATTTGAACTTCCAAAAGTAATAATTCATTAAGGGATGTTATTATTGTGATGTATAACAATCTGAAGGCAATGCATTTAAGGTGGCTACACCAACAGAACTAAGGGGTGTGTTCACTAGTAATGTCATGGGCACTCTGCACAATGTTCTAACAATACCATTATTTGTTATGTGTAGTAGGCTGTGGCTCTTCTCCACCAATATAAGCTTGATCTTTTTACTCAAAGTTCTATTTTATTTTTCCCTTCAAGGAGTGTTCACTAGTAATGTCATGAATTTACTTTTGTTATTGCTTGAATTTTATCTATTTGCTTATTTTGCTATGAAGGTGTTCTTTATTGGGAATGAAGCTTTTAGGTGACAATCCTTGACTGATTCTGCGGGGACTGAGAAAGCTGTGCCGGGATACGAGTTTTGACATGTACTAGAGGAATCTGAGTGGCCGGGCTTAACTTGACAACCCCAGACTGATTGAAATTCGCAAGATTCGACAGACTTGTGCTTGAGTGGTATTTTCCTTCTGGTTGAGGAGATCATCACAAGAGACCTCAGGTTGTACACTGGTTGTGCTCTGTATATAAACAGGTTGTATCATCCCTCGGTGTGGCTGTTTGTGCGCCTAATAACCATATGGGATGCTCCTAGGGTTAGGATTCAAAGAGAAAAATTGCATTCGCTGTATATGTGATGTCTGTCAGGAGATATTAAGGTTAATTTTGTATGCTTCATCCCTTCAATATTCCATTGTATATACTTACACATGAGACTTGTACCTGTATTACTATCACCTCCTTTAACGCCATTATTGAATGAAGCTGGAAGCCAGTACGCTATCCAATTTTTGTACATGCAAAAATGACTGAATTTTTTATCGATAGGCTTGAATTTATAACTTCACCTGGAGAAAATAGATTATTTATCTTTTCAAAGGTGAGATGGACTGGGGAATTGGACGTTGATTATTGTAAAAACCAAAAGCAAAAATCCAGTATCCCTGGCAACGTGAAAAAAAAAGTTATGCTCATCAATCTGCTTTTGATTTTTCCATAAGTCAAATTGTATAACCTAAAGCTACGCGAGATGATTTTATAGAAAGCTACCCTTAAGCTCTTCACTAAGCTACCCTGGTACTTTTGTATCACAGGACAGGAAGGCAGTCTTTTTCCTCAAGCAGCAACTCAACATAACCAGTCCTTCACAGCTCTCCCCTTGGCAACAAAACAACCAACATTCTTCCGATCGATTCTCATCGGACTTTCCATCCGAAGCATCATCTGTTTAACCAGTCCTTTAACAGGGGATTCCCCTCTAACACTGCTATGCTTTCCTGACCCGCAGATGATGACAACCTCTGCCGGCATCACATCCTTCCCACTGTTGAACCTGCATCGCATTGCATCAAACCACTCCAACAATATCAAATAAGCTGAACCTAAATGCATGCCATGCAAATCCAACTTGGCCTCCAAAGGTTCCCACACCATCACCTCGTCCAAAACTGTTGATTCAACTAACTCTTTAACCAACAAAGCCTCATCACCATTCAAAACCCCATTCAATTCTTCAATCGAACATGGAACATCTTTCGGTTCTTGCAGCATTGACATGATCGTAGGGGACGAATTCAAGACCGAATTGTAAGTCCTAATAGAGAAAGGAAGACTCAAACTTTTCATTTTTCGGAGCCACACAACCATTGCAGCAAGCTCACTATGAGCTCCATACGATGAAAGAACCATATTGGAACAAATTGTATCAATAGCAATCCCTTGGTTCTCCATTTGTTCCACAACTTTCAGCATATCTTCAAACAGTCCCAATCTTCCATATCCATAAACCACAGACCTAAACTCGAAAACCGATGGTTTGAGTCCTTTAACTCTCATCTCCTCAATCAAATTGTCTGCTTCACTAGGTCGATCCATTTCACATAAACCACTAACCGTTGATTCAAAAGCTCGGTTTTTGACATAAACAGAAGAAGAATTATGAAGAAGCTGATAGAGGTAACTGTAGGAACTATCAAATCCATGCTTTGAACTTAGCTTAGAGTGCGATTCAACCAACTGGCAATGAAAAAGAGCAAGCTCTCGTTCCCTGGAGCCTAATTTGGAAATGGTTTCAGAGATTAGAGCTTCTGCTTCGTTGTGTTGGCCTTGTTTGTCGAGCAGGGCAACAAGGGCTGCTACCAACTTGGGATTCCATTCAAACCAAGACGCTTCTGTGATTTTTGAGTAGAACTGAAGAAAACCCAAGTGAATAACTTAGCTGAAATGAAAAGTAATGGCTTGTTTGGTTGCTGAGAAAATGCTGAAAAACATAAAACAGCCCAAAGGAAATGGGTCATTATATTTTCTTGGAAACCATTAAGAAATAGCAAAAGATTTAATTTGTTCTTATCAATTTCTCAGCAACCAAAAACAGAGAGAGAGAGAGAGAGAGAGAGAGAGAGAGAGAGAGAGAGAGAGAGAGAGAGAGAGAGAGAGAGAGAGAGAGAGAGAGAGAGAGAGAGAGAGAGAGAGAGAGAGAGAGAGAGAGAGAGAGAGAGAGAGAGAGAGAGAGAGAGAGAGAGAGAGAGAGGTGGACTTACAGGGAGGGCGAGGGAAGAGAGATGGGGGAGAGTGGTATCAGGGGAGAGAAGATAGGAGAGAGTGTTGAGAGCAATGGACTTGGTAGAAGAAGTAAGGAATTTGGCAATCAACTTGTTGGTGACCTTGGCGTCCCTGGCATTGGCTGCAAGCTTGGTGAGAAAGCGTTGGCCTTGTTTTGTCACTGCGCATTGGATTGATGATGTTAATGGAGGCAGAGGTCGTAGAGGGTTCCATGGCAATGCCATTGAGAAAGATAGTTGTCCGCTGCCAATGCCTCCCATTTGGTTGAGGCTGAGCATCATTTGGGCATATGATATGATTGAGCTTAACATCTCCTTCGAGTTCCCCCACTTTTCTAGCTAAGTTTTTGGAGGAAAAAAAAAGTCTTAAAAGTTGTCAATTTTTTAACGTGGTGTTACTAATCCAATCCGGTGAAAAATTATTATATGATAAGTAGAATGAAAGAAGAGGAAGAAGAAGCAAGGGTGACATACTTAACCCTAATAAGTGTTTTCAATCCATACTTAAAATCAATCTAAACAGAATAGTCATATATGATTATGCTAACCATCTATATTAACCCCGAAGAATTAACAATCAATGTTGAACGATATTGTTAGTGATATTGATATATTCGTAAATTTGAGTATCATTCTACACGACAACATGGATAAATTTGTTACACGATGTTGAGGTGTTACGGTCTCATCCAAAATTACTAATTCGAGAGGATCATCAAGTAGTGGAGAAATTATAGAATTGCTAGTGGTTATAATTTTATATTCCTAAGAAAGAAAAAAAAATAATGTGTTAAGATTGTAGCTAATTTTCATATATTTTTTTTAAGGCAACTGTCTTACAACTGACAAAATGTGGAATGAGAAACTTGGAACGAAAGCTTCCAATTCACCAGCTTCCACTCAAACCGCCAAGCAAAACGTTTAAAAGCTTCTCTCTCTGACACAATCCTTCAATGACTTACAACGTTGTCATTCGGAGAATGATTATGGGCAACCGAAACGGTGTCGTGTTCAGACTCATGAGCATGCCTCTAGGTCGTCTTTGTCTTCGTCCACATACGTCCTTACAGCTCTCTCGTCTTACTTCAACTTCGACAGACAAAAGTTCCACTCAGGCCCTAGACGGAGACTTCTTTGCATTGAACAAAAGGATCTCCCATTTGATCCGAACTGGCCAGATTGCCCAAGCGAGGGAAGATTTTGATAGGATGGAGCAACGAAATGTTGTTACTTGGAATTCAATGATCACTGGGTATGTAAAACGCAGAGAGATAGCGAAGGCGCGTAAGTTGTTTGATGAAATGCCTGAGAGAGATGTGGTTTCGTGGAATTTGATGATATCGGGGTATATATCTTGTCGTGGAGATAGGTATATTGAGGAGGGGAGGAGTTTGTTTGATCAAATGCCAGCGAGGGATTGTGTATCTTGGAACACAATGATTAGTGGGTATGCCAAGAATCAGAGGATGACCGATGCATTACAGCTTTTTAATAGAATGCCTAACCGGAGTGTTGTTTCTTGGAATGCAATGATTACTGGGTTTTTGCAGAACGGTGATGTTGTGCATGCAGTTGAGTTTTTTGAGAGAATGCCAGAACGGGATCGGGCTTCTCTTAGTGCACTTGTGTCGGGGCTTATTCAGAATGGTGAATTGGATGAAGCTGCGAGGATTCTTCTTGAATGTGGGAACAGGGATGATGGAAGAGAAGATTTGGTGCATGCTTATAATACGTTGATTGCTGGTTATGGTCAGAGAGGAAGGGTTGAAGAAGCCAGGAAGCTTTTTGATCAAATCCCATTTTCGCATGAGAAGGGAAAAGAGGGCAATAGGAGGTTTGAGAGAAATGTGGTATCATGGAATACCATGATTATGTGCTATGTGAAAACAGGAAATATTGTTTCTGCCAGGGAACTTTTTGACCAAATGAGAGAACGAGATACCTTTTCTTGGAATACCATGATCAGTGGCTATGTACATGCGTCGGATATGGAAGAGGCCTCAAGCCTCTTTAGTAAAATGCAAAATCCTGATGCGCTGTCATGGAATTCATTGATATTAGGGTATTCCCAGGTTGGTTGTTTAGAATTGGCTTGTGATTTTTTCGAGAAGATGCCCCAAAAGAACCTGGTCTCTTGGAACTCCATGATAGTAGGGTATGAGAAAAATGAGGACTGTGTCGGAGCAGTCAAGCTCTTTGCTCGAATGCAACTTGGGGGAGAGAAACCTGATAGACACACTTTATCTTCAGTTCTCAGTGTGAGTACTGGGTTGGTAGATCTGCATCTTGGCATGCAGGTTCATCAGATGGTCACAAAGACAGTTATTGCAGATGTGCCATTAAACAACTCCCTTATTACTATGTATTCTCGATGTGGTGCAATAAAAGAGGCACAGACAATATTTGATGAGATGAAACTGCAGAAAGATGTTATCTCCTGGAATGCAATGATTGGAGGCTATGCATCTCATGGTTTTGCTGCAGAGGCTTTAGAACTTTTCGCTTTGATGAAGAGGTTAAAGGTGCGGCCTACTTATATAACATTTATCGCAGTGTTGAATGCATGTGCTCATGCAGGATTAGTTGATGAAGGCCGGAGTCAATTTAAATCCATGATTAGTGAATTTGGAATTGAGCCACGTGTTGAACACTATGCCTCCCTTGTGGACATCATCGGTCGGCATGGGCAGCTTGAGGAGGCCATGGGTTTGATTAAGAGCATGCCATTCGAGCCAGACAAGGCTGTATGGGGAGCATTGTTAGGTGCTTGTAGAGTGCATAACAATGTAGCGTTGGCCCGAGTTGCAGCTGAAGCATTAATGAGACTTGAACCCGAAAGCTCAGCTCCATATGTATTGCTATATAATATGTATGCTGACGCTGAGCTATGGGATGATGCGGCAGAGGTGAGATTGATGATGGATAAGAATAATATAAGAAAGCATGCGGCTTATAGTCTGGTAGATTCTTCCCATTTCTAAGGACATTTATGTGCTGATTGTATGAAGTTGGTGATTCAGTACCACAGAATCCCTGTCATTGATATTGGTTTCCTCTGATCCAAGTGAATTGATAAACCATTCAATCAAATATTCTTGCTTGTATTACCCTGGAGATGGGAAACGACACAATCCAGGAAAAAAATACGGTGATTTAGACACTTAGAAGAATGGTAATATGCCCAAGACAGGAAGGACAGCTGTGGGTTAACTGAGTCTGAACCAGGTTCTACAGACACATGAGCTTCAATGAATAGCATGAACACTGTCAGGTGTCAATCTGGTGGATATGAACCATACATGATGCTGTTGTCACAGTTAACACTAGCCTATTTGGTACACAAGTCATTGTAACTGATGAAGAAAGTTGGGTGACGCCGACAGGCAACAGGCTGGTACGTTGTTAACATAACCTCTAGTCAAGCCCTTATCTTTGAACTAACCATGATAAATATGGTACCTCTCTATTCCAGAACTTTGAAAATTGACAATTTGTATTTTCTGGTCCTAATTTCTTCAGATTTTAGTGAGATTGCACTTCCAGATTTCCAGTGTTTGGGGCTTAAGAAGTGTAGTAGAGTCATCATTAAATATCAATGACAGGCGTGGAATTTTCCTGCTCTTTATTGTTCTCATTTTTACAACTCTGGCTCTAATGTTAATCAAGAAGGCACGAGTGGACTTGCATCATTTTATGGTGGGATCGATGCAAGAGCAAAAGCATTTCCTTTCAATTTTTTCCAAATAGGATCTGTGAACTCAAGGGAGATCCTACGTAACAGATGTTATTGAAATACAGAGATGCATGGCCTCCACAAGTGATCTTAGAGCTCGTCACGAAATGGACAAGTCTCATGCATCTAGGTGGCTATTCTTTGGAATTTCAGTGACAGGTGCAGAATCTTGTGACTAGCTGACCAATGCATGTTTGTTGTATAGAAGCAATTTTATGAAGTTTTTACAGGTCCGTCAGCTATGAATTTGCAATGTTATTTCTTTCCAATGATATGGAAAAGTGGCTAGAGAGTGTAAGAAAGATTCTATGAACCTAGAATGACAGATCACATGCGAACCAATTGGTATTTGGGTGCTCACTCATATCTGCACATTTTAAGACGACAGAAACTTGCTTCCAAAACTTAGGTAGGAAAGTTCAGCTTAAGAATGACCTCAAAAACCAGATGCTATATCTCATAACACCCGAAATCATGGAGTTTCTGGTCGGACAATACTTACAATTTTATCGTTTTCTATTATGACGGTTTTCTTGTTCACAGAATCACAGGGTATTTTGGAGTTAAAGATTCTACTCTTTTGTTTGAACATTGGAAAATTCCAGAGAAAGCTAAGAAGAAACTGTTGATTTGGAAAGTCTTTAAAAAGTCGGTTGATATGATTGCAAAATGTCATTACTGGCTATTGTGAACAGCAATTGAATATCAAAACTCCTCGATATGGTTTTTGTACTTTTACCATTGTCAACTTGTGAGTTTAAAGACTAGCCCCACATAAATAAATATGTATGTAATTTATATTCCACGAGATTAAAAATGATAAATTTTTTATTATCTGAATAATGAAAGGGTGTGAATAGTAGCGGTAACAAAAATAATGACATTTACCTCAAAACATGAATAATAAAGACCGCCTAGAAATGAAAACACAATATATAATCGGATGATAAACTCTTTTTTTGGGACATTCTTCATACTTATAAACCCACCAACATTTCACCCTTGTAAACATTTACTCTTTATTGAAACGTCTTTCTTCACTGTGGCCTTCCGGTTTCCAACAATGGAAGAACACGTTGTAAACATTTCCAGTTTCATCTTTACTCTTTTGTGGAAATTCTTTTTTCGCCCTTCCAATTTCCAACAACGGAAGCTCACAAGTCAACATTGGCAACTTGGAAACGAGTAAAAGCAGGATACACCGTCAGGTTAAACAGTGTTCTAGAGTCTAAGTGAGATAAATTAGATGATTATTACATTTTAGAGAGTGATATATGTCAGCGGCTATGCAGCCACTATCCTTTCCACATGCCCAATCCAGAATCCAGCAAGAATGAGGAATCTCCTCCTTACATTAGCCATCATCTTTTTTTGTTTTCCTCCAGCATCTCTCTCCGCCATTGTATCACCACAACTTGCCGGGAGGAAGGAACTATTGCAGCAAACAAACATTTTCTTAAAAAAATTACTTGCGAGTTGCACTACATATAGAAAAACTAAATATGTATTACGTTTGTTACAGCACTAGATAAGTGTGACTAACTAACAATGATAAAACTACTGGTGATTCTCTGCATAACGAAGGTATGACTGATAGGAGGCATCAAGTTTTTTCTTTTTTCAAAAAATGAAGTCTCTTAAAAAGCAAACTGTGAAATATGGTAATACATAAACATTTTTAAAAATTAAAAAAAAAATCAAAAGGCACGAGAATTTCGAACTTGCGACATATTTCAACATTGAAAGAGAAATACAACTAAATTAAAAGCTACTTAAAACCTACATAATTTGATAAATTGATAAACATATAATTCTAACTAATCATTCAATTGGGTAACATATGATCACATTTTCTAAACCTTAAACCAATTCTACCTCTACAATACTAATCTCAAACTAATATAATAAAAAGCAAGAATATTATTGTTGTTTCTATTTTGATTTTCTAACAATTTTGTTGATTCTGATTGTAACGGTTTTCTTGTTGTGAGAATCATAGAGTATTTTGGAGTTTGGAGTTTCAATATTCTACTCTTTGTTTGGATGTTGGGAAAGTTCCAGAGAAAGCCAAGAAGAAACTGTTGATATTTGAACGTCGTTAAACAAGTCGGTTGATATGCATCACAAATGTCACAACTTGCTGTTGTGAACAACAATTGAATATATCAATGTTCCTGAAATACAGGCTATGTATGTTTCTGAAGATCCTAGGTATTCCTCCTTCGATATGGTCTGATGAGCACATAATTATTACATTTATTATCCTTAAGTTTATATTGTTAGTGCTTTAGTTAATTTTATTTAAGTCTTTTTTTTCTTTTTTTTCTGTTTTTAGGTGGATCACCCAAATAATTAACAAATGCAAATGGGAAGGAAGCAAGAAAGAAGCAAATGAATTCACATGCTTGTTGAGGTGTCGATTAACTAATAAGAGGATGAACTGCCACAAGGAAGGGAAAAAATAGAAAAAAAAATTCAGCAAAGGAATTGTGGCCAGCCGCACCAACATAGGCAAGATGAAGTGGGGGTTAGGTATTGAATTAAAATAGGAATGGTGGCGTTGGAATCTATCATGATGTTACTCCATCTTAGTCCTATAAATTGAGATGTTGTTGCAGCTTCAAGGACACATCGGAGCTTCACTTCTCGTGAGCTCTCTCTCATTCCTCCAATTATTTTCCAGTTTTAAATTTCTGTTTTAGTTTTTTTTTTTTATCGGGAACTAACTCCCTAGCTAAGGCTAGGGATAAGCTTTCAATATAAGAGTGTAATTTATTTAGTTTGATCCGAATTTAAGCTTAATGTAAATGATTTTTTTATTGTTCAAATAAAATTGGTAATTTTTCTCTTTATTTAATTGATGAGTGTTTTCAATCTATTCATAGGTTCAGTCAAGCTTTTCCTATAGTTTGGTAAAACCATTCGTGTTTTTGAGTGAGGAGAATAAGTAAAGATTATTTTTTGATAGTTTGTCGCCAAATGGTACAGGTTATGCTTAAAATATTTCTCAAGATTTCTCTTTATTTAATTGATGAGTGTTTTCAATCTATTCATAGGTTCAGTCAAGCTTTTCCTATAGTTTGGTAAAACCATTCATGTTTTTGAGTGAGGAGAATAAGTAAAGATTATTTTTTGATAGTTTGTCGCCAAATGGTACAGGTTATGCTTAAAATATTTCTCTAAGGAAATTAAAAGGAGTTTTAAATATTTAAACAAATACTTTTAGGAATCATATTTTATGGATCAAATTAATATGAATCGCATGCTTATGTTGAAAGTGGAACCCAATGCCTTAGTGTTTTAATCAATTAAATTTTCTTTAAATCAAATCTTGCATAAATATGCTCCTCTATCTTAATTGTTATGTTTCATCTCTGTTATTTTCTTTACACCGCTCTCTGTGGATACGACATTCGGACTTCCAAGCTACATTGCTATATGACACCTCTCCTTGGGTTTTGCAAGCGGTCAAACATGGTCTTGTCCTTTTACTATTGTCACCTTGTAAATCATCATGGAATTCAACTAGAATAGTGTAAAGTAGGGTTTTGCTAAGAGCAGAATGTTGAACAATTGTTCCATTTCGCCTCTAGAGAACGTAGAAAATGATACATTTGGCCATGCAACCTCAGTAATTCGTACATTTTGTACATACCACTTGAATAATGGGTAACATTCTTTTATTTTCTATTTCTTGTTTAAAATATAGTAGCTATCATCTTTTTTGGTTACCCTCCAACATCCCTTCACCACAACCATCCCAAAAACCATCCACATATAATAGAGGGAAGAACTATTCCAATAAACTAACGTATATAGAAAACTTGCATAGAGGGAAGAACTATGGCAACCATTCCCTTGCAGGTTGAACTACATATATATAAAACTTAAACATGTATTATATTTTCTTATGGCACTAGATAAGTGTGACTTACAATCTAACATACGATATACATTTTGTACAAGACTAAAAATCATAAAACTCGTGATTTTCTAAATAATGAAATGGTGTCAATAATAGGAGGCAACAAGTACTTATAACAAAAAGAATTAAAAAAGGTAGTGTATAAAATATAGTAATATATAGACTTAACATACTCATACTACACGTATATTAGGACTGGAATTTAGACATTTCTCAAGAGAGTAATTGCTCTAAACAACTATACTCTAGTGAGTCATTTGCAATTAAGAACTAATTAAAACCTAATCACATACACATAATTCTAGCTAATAATCTAACTGCGTAACACACGATCACATTTTCTAAACCTTAGAGCCCTACAATACTAATCCCAAATTAAAATAAATAAATAAAACAAATAATATTTCACTTTTCTTTATTTAGAAAAAAAACTGATTAATTTCATATAAAAAAATCCTAAAATTAGCGTGTCATCACCATGTCGTGTCCAAATCCAGTTGCATAGTACTTTATTTGGTAGTGTCTTCTCGTCTCGTGGCTTTTGGAGGTACGTGGACGTCCTCAAATACTCGATGGAGTTTACAGAAGAAGGAGGAGAGAGAAGAGGAGAGAGGAGAGAGGAGAGAGAAGAGAGACCCATAAAACCAGGCCCAGTGGGAAAAGCAAACTGTTTATTTTTTATTGCTCAGAGCAAAAGCAAACTGTTTGAGCCAAATGCGATTCTTAGCGATCTCTCTGTCCCTGAGACACCGTCAAACTTGACGACCACCTCGAGCCTTCTTCTATAACCCCCCACCCTCGCTTTTTTCATTCATCAATTCGCTCCGATTTCACTGAGTCATAACACACCCAACTCGCTCCCAATCGATCTTCAATCAATCTGATCAGAGCAATTTCGTTGCTGCTGTGAGTTCTGACGATGAACAAGAGGCCACGAACAAGCATCGGCAAGGCTGTCGTCAATGTTTGGCAGCGCGAGGTCGGCGAGCTCTCGGCCAGAAATTTTACCCACCGTGTCGGTGGCTCTGAGGTCTTTTCATGGATAACCTTATCCCTGATTGTTATTTAATTGTTTTTGCTGGATTAAATTTTGGTTGAGTGATTTCTGATTGTGGAACTGTAATTATAAGCTAATTCCTGTATTGGGTTTTGGATTATGTATTTATTTGTTAAGGAAGTTGTGAAATTTGGCTTATATTAAATTCACGCTTGGGTCATTCAGATCATATTTGTGTGATACTAGATTAAAGTTGGGTTCTTTCTTGCTTTGTACTGAGAGTTGCAGTATAGAATTCTATTGTGGGGTTGTGTAATGTGTTTTGAAGGTTGTGGAGATCATATGATTGCCTCTTGAGTAGTGCCCATATGGGTATGAAATTCTTGTTCAAATATCTACAGAGGAGAATTTGAGTGTGGTTTGTTAATGCATGCAGTTGAAGTGTTTTGTTTCTCATATTGGACAAAGCTTTAATTAGTTTTTGTTTTGTTTGTTATTTTGTTTTAGGATCTTGTGCTTCGACTTGAACTCTACAGGAAGCTCGAGAAGCATCGAGGATGTGTGAACACAATAAGCTTCAATGCGGCTGGTGATATTCTGGTTTCAGGCTCTGATGACAAGCGGGTCATCCTATGGAATTGGGAAACTGGGAAAGTTCAGCTTTCATTCCATTCAGGTCATAATAACAATATTTTCCAAGCAAAGATCATGCCTTATACCGATGATAGAAGCATTATCACCTGTGCTGCTGATGGGCAGGTACTTTGTTAATGTAAAGCATTGGCATCATGCCATGAAATATTCCTTTTTTAAAAATAATTTATAATAAAATACTTCTAATAGCATTTGATATTTTTAGGTGAGACATGCTCAAATTTCAGATCAAGGACAAGTGAAAACTTCATTGTTAGGCAAACATCTGGGGCGCTCTCATAAGTTGGCAATTGAGCCTGGGAGCCCTCACATTTTTTACACCTGTGGTGAAGATGGATTGGTGCAACATGTGAGTTATAATTTCCTTTGCTAGCCATAAACATTAATAATTTTTGTTTTCTTTCAACTAGATAAGTTATGTATTCTTGGACAAGCCTAAAAATGGTAATCTGTACTCAGAGGATGAGATCCTTTCATCTAGTGAACTTGATTGGAGGCTTAACAGATTGTGATTATTTGCTAATTCTTTTCTTGTTATTTCATTGACTTTAAAATTTTCAAAATCTTAAGGCTCGTTGATTATCTCGCCATTGGGATTCCAATGGGCAATTTTGAATGTTGAGTCCATGTGATGTTTCTGGTGCTTTTGTTTCAAAATTTAATGTTTATTTTTTTGGTGTGGTTATACAACAATTGTGACTTGTTATTACTTTACAGTTTGATCTGAGGACTGGGGCTGCCACAGAACTTTTCACATGCCAACCTCTTGATGGTAGAAGGAGTCACATGCCAGCCATCCATCTAAATGCAATTGCAATTGACCCAAGAAACCCAAATTTCTTTGCAGTGGCAGGTTCTGACGAATATACTCGACTTTTTGATATCCGCAAGTATAAATGGGATGGATCATCTGATTTCGGCCAACCTGCAAACTTCTTTTGCCCACCACACTTGATTAGTGATGGGCGAGTTGGAATTACTGGATTGGCCTTCTCAGAACAAAGCGAACTTCTTGTCTCATACAATGATGAGAACATCTATCTTTTTGAACGAGATATGGGATTGGGACCTAATCCAGTTCCAACCTCTCCAGTTTCTATGGGCAGTGATGCAAGTGAAATGAGTGATGATCATCAGAGTGAAGCATCTCCATCAACCATGGCTATTGATGAAAGCACTGCTCCTCAAGTTTACAAGGGTCATAGGAACTGTGAGACAGTGAAAGGCGTGAACTTCTTTGGTCCTAAATGCGAGTATGTTGTGAGCGGGTCTGACTGTGCGCGGATATTCATATGGAAGAAAAAGGGTGGGGAGCTGATTCGTGTTATGGAAGCAGATAAGCATGTGGTAAATTGCATCGAGTCTCATCCTCACACCACAGTTCTTGCAAGCAGCGGAATCGATAGTGACATCAAGATATGGACTCCAAAGGCCAATGAGAGAGCTACTCTGCCTCAGAACATCGAGAAGGTATGCTTTGTTATTTTGAGCTATTTCTTTCATGAGAAGTCTCTCTTTAAAGGTTCTAAATTTTGTTTCATGGACCAACTTGCATGACCCATGAAAAGTAAATTTTATTTATCCTTCTTTTACATGGTGCTTGCATCACCCATCGCCTTTGAGTTTTGGGTGGTGATGCATGGCAAGATTATATTTCTTCTCTTCAAGGGCAAGCAGAAAATGGGATGTGAGTGGAGGGCGTTGTCAGGACACAACATTTTCAATTATGCCAAACATTGAATTGTTGGTTGCTCATGGTACTTTTCATTTTTGTATATGATCAAAAGACAGAATTTACATTTTAGATTGTAAGTCTAGTGCTTCAATTGTTTAAATATGCATTGGAGACAACCCTTCTTTCTGAACCCCCAATATTACATAGAGAGAGGTCGTTCTGGGATTTTGCAGGATGGTGTAGAAAGCTGATTTGGTGCAGCTTCACTGGGTTGCTCACCCTTCTAGGTAGTCCTAGAAACGCCTGTATATGTGCCAATGTTGGTACTATGATGTGAACAATAAACAATTAGATCCAGATAGGGCTATAATACTGATGCTAAAACCTATTTGGGCAGCAGAGGAACTAATTTCTCTGCTGTTACTTGTTTGGTAAAGGTCCTGAAACCTGGCCGAATAATATGGTATGCTAGTGATGATGAGGATGAGGATGAGGAGGAGGATGATGATGATGAATATTTTTCTGATGATATTTTTTATGATGACGACGATGACGACGATGAGGAGGATGACGATAGTGATGACTGTGATGATTATGATGACTGTGAAGGTGGCAGCGCTTGAATGTGATGTTGATGATAACAATGATGACAGTTTTCTTGATGGTTATGATGATGCTAATGATTATAATTTTACGATTGTGTCCAGAAGAAACCCAGGGCTAGGGGATGGATGTACCGCCTATCCTCACCTGAGGACTTGATGTTGCAACTGTTTTCATTGCAAAGGCAGAGGGTAAGCCCAGAGCGTGACGGCGAGAACTCAAATGATGGTCAGGAACTTCTAGAGCTAATAATGGCATTCCAGCGCAACTCGGATGATTCTTCAGAGGATGGAGGAGACACCTCCAGTCAGGATGATTTGTTTTGTTGAGTTATGAAGCCTATGAATAATTGTACATAATTAGGATGAAGTTATACTTTTTGGAGAATTTTCCTGTTTACTTGTTAACTTATATTTCGTGGTGTTCTCTATACATTCGTGTTTCTTTTTTCCTTGTATTTTCACTTTCTGCTTAAATTAGGGTGAAAAGAAGACTGGAAATTTGTTCTATGCTGAAAAAAGAATGTACATTCAGTTTTCAGATTGACACACAAAATTATGAATTAAATATATGCAAGTCTGGAATGAGGGTTACTCATGATAGAACAATTTAAATCAGACGCATTTAAGTACCAATCACTATAGAGAAAGAAATCATGGTTTAAAACCTAATTGGCAGTTTCAACTTTTTTCGTTTATGAGCTATAGAGTGGAGATGGCTTTCCTTTCCCCAACTTTAGTGAACATTAGAAATTTTAACAAGTGAATTATATCAAAGGTGATTCAATGGACACTAATATCTCTAGACACCCAACTACAATTACAAATATACCCACAAAAAAATAACTCTTAAAATGCTCTCTCTCTCTCTCTCTCTCTCTCTCTCTCTCTATGTATACATAACTTAAAACTAAAAATAAAAAATATAAGGAGAGGAAAACTAAAAATAAAAACATAAGGAGAGTGAGGAGCTAGCTAGCCACCCTCCTCGCTGGCCACCTCCTCCTATGCACCGCCCGCCCTCGCCTCATCCTCACCCCCGCCCTCTGGGCCGGCCAACCTTGTCCTTTTTAGTCATTTTGCAATTGGTAAAAATGCCATTGAATTTAAGTTATGGGTGTCCATATGGAAACTTACAGAGATCAAATGAAAAATAAATAAATAAAAAAAGATAAGGTGGTCCGGTTGGTCCTCCAAACAAGAAAGGAAAGGGAAGCCAGTTGGGCCTAAAATTCTAACAGAACCGGAGCAACCCGACCCGTACCGAGATCAAGTCCAGACAGAGGAGCTTAAATGATGCTAATCCATCCAGGTCCACGTAACTCCCGCGATATTTTTTCAACAACGACTTTCACCATCATCATCATCATCATATCTGATTCTGATTCTGAAACAGTTGCTGTACGCCATGGAAGCCCTAATCAGCTCATCTTCTGCTACGATCACGTCATCCTCTTCTTCCTTTTCCATTTTCTCTCCCAGAAAGACTCTCCCTTTGCGACCTGTTCAGCTCCCTCTCGCCTCCAAAGGTAAATTTTTTCTCTTTTGCTCCTTTTGGTTGCCAATAAATCATTAGAATTTTGAAAGCTTTGATCGACGTTCGGAAGATTTCAAATTCGTTTTCCATTTTCCCATCAACCAAACAAAGAAATTTAGAATTATTATTAATTTGATGGATCTCATTTATCTGATGGGAATTTAAATTTCGATTTCAGGAAACGAGAACGAATCCAATCCAAGTTCGGATTCCAAAGACATCAAAAACCTTACAGTTCTTAGCAATCGCCATCTCTCCCTCTCACCACTCTCCAAGGTATTCTATCTAAATTTCGCAAGCTGGGTTTTTTTTTTTCCCCTTTTTTTTCCTGACTATGTTGGGTAACTAGGAGAAATTTAAGCAAAATATTGAGTCAGATGTTTGACGTTGTTGCAAAATTGATCTGCTTTTTTTTCTTCTTAGCAATAGAGTATGTTTTTTTATTTTTTTGTTACGAAGTTTGTATGTTAATAGAAAGTGCTTGTGGTGATGATATTTTGTTGTGTTGAATGAAATTTTTATTCATTGAAAACATAATGTTAGGATGCGGCAATGGGACTGGTGATGAGTGCGGCGACAGGACGAGGGTGGACCACAGGTTCCGGAATGGAAGGGCCTCCTGCTCCTGCTGGGATTCACACCCACTCAAGCACAGAGAATGTCTCCACTTTTCCCTGGTCTCTCTTCACTAAATCGCCTCGCCGTAGGATGCTTGTAGCTTTCACTTGTAACATTTGTGGGCAGCGGACAACACGGGCAATTAACCCCCATGCATACACCGATGGAACTGTCTTTGTGCAGGTAGAATAACTTAGGATTTAATCATGGTGCTCAATATTGACTGACTATTATGAATATATAAATAACAGTGTAATTCAGAAGTGAGTATACCAAAATTTGTGAAGTAACGTTACTTCATGATGTTTCACTGAGTATTTTGTTTGGCTGATGATTTTGGACAAGTAATTCTGGAGTTTTTGAAAAGATAAATAACATTGTGGTCTTGAGATAAGCTTTTAACTGAGTATTATAGTGAACTGCACTAAGAAATAGTCTCTAATGGTTATTCTTCTTTTGTTCTGGTTCTGCAGTGTTGTGGATGCAATGCATTTCATAAGCTCGTGGATAATTTGAACCTGTTTCATGAGATGAAGTGCTATGTGAGCCCAGGTTTTAATTACAAAGGTAATGGATGGGATGCTGTTAACTTCAAATATCTGGAAATGGATGATGATGATGAGGATGGCATGTTTCCCATCCAATGAGGTGGATGGACCACTCAAGGAGTATGTATATTCTGCACCAATGTGTTGGAACCTTTGATTAGTCTTCACATGTATATATCATTATCTAGGTTTATCCTTGTCATCACATTTTTAAAATTCAGCATTGGGTTGTCTAGAAGCTTAGTAAGAGATGTTTGAACGGCTAAAAAGATTACAGATTACTCTTATCTGGAGCTTATGTATAGTGTGTCTAACAATGTGCAAATCTTAATGCAATGCCTGAATTTTGAAGCTTTATTCAACATATTCAACGGCTCTTCTTAAGCTGTTGAATGATTTATTCTCTTTAGTATACTGTTGAATGATTGTCTAGCCTGTAGCAAATTGTTTTGCTATATTTTTAAACATGAGCAATTCATTGTGGCTGCTGTCTTAAAATGAAGGTATTTAGTTTGCTGTCTATTTGATTGCATCGTTTCTTTGCCTTTTCATTGAATGATTCATTCCAACAACTGCTTGTGCCAAAGGATAAATTCTTTATTGGTTGAGATTCTGGTGCTGAGGAATTTTTCAGAGATATAACAGATAGTCCCTTAAGAGCTTCTCCTTTGCATATTCCATCCTCTTTAATTGTGCAGGCTTTTCTTCACCTTTCCTCTCCTTTGTTTGTTCTATCATCATCACCTTTGCAATATGATGGCACTCAATGATTGCACTAGTCAAACCCTCTCTCAAGACACAAACCCACTTCATTTTCCTGCATTTGTGAGTTGAATCACTGTTCTCCAGTCTCCACATAATTGCCACTGAATAATCAGTATCCTGACTTAAAACTTACCAACACAGAGTCCCAGCTACAGTCGATCGAGTTTCCTTTTAGAGAGCCCATTATCTACCGTCGAAAGAGTCTCACCGCTAATATTTCTCTTTGCTTATGTTTCTTAATCCATATACTTGCTTTCAGAAATCAGATTAGTTCAACTTTGTTGGAACTATTAGAATTAGTCTTTTCATCTCAGAACCAACCCCGTAGATCGGTTATAACAAACAAACAGAAAGGGCTGATATATGTTTACATAGTTATTATCATCTCCCAGATCATTTCCTAAATTTGCACAGCAAACTACAGGAAATGCCATATTTTGGAAATGATTATCTAATCAAACCTTTGCCTGCATGCTATTGGACATGCAGAAAATGGAGAATGAAAGAAACAAATGGAGCTTTCAATTCTTCAAATCCAGAGTCATCATGTAGCATTGACATTACAAATAGAAAATTTATATATATATATATATAGAGGGTTTAACTGAGTTCAACTCAATTAACCAAAATGGTTGCATAAGTCTCATTTACAGTGTATAGTTAAGGTTTAAATCCAATGTCATCGGACCCAGCTGATTTGAACTGCTAAATGCCCCAATTAGCTTTGGGAATGTCTGCATAGCAACTCTGATTAGCTCTTGTTCTTGGGTTTGTTTCTTTCTATAAATTGAAGGGCTCCATAAGATCAAATTTTGTGCTGGAGAGATCTATTGCTTTATGTTAGAATTATATATAATTTAGATTCTCACTACGTAGAATCCACAGATATGATATTGCTGATTTTGTGACTTGAAATAGGAGAAGCCCTTATCATTGTACTCTGAACAAAGCCGATTATCTGCACAAATGAAAAAAAACGAACAAACAAAAAAGTGTCATATGTCAATTAAATCCATGAACCAAGAACAACTGATACATCAGAAAAAAAAGGGACTCTCTTTTGTGTGTTCATAAAATACCAAATTCTCACCATTGCAAGGCCAATGCACATTATACTAAAGCCAGGGAAATAAAATGGCGCTTCTTCAGACAGGAACAAAGCTGGATAAATAATAGGAAAACTGGTCAAATTGAATTAGATTTATGATTCTATCCAAAAGGAAAAACAAAATAATAAAACATCCACAAACCTGTTAGAGGACTAAAAATTAAAGGAGAAACAATGTTGGCAAAGGAACTTATGCCTGAAATACATCCTTGAGCCTTTCCCTGGTAAGAGGTTTACTTTGTAAATAAGTTGATTAAAACATATATGTACATATGCACGTACGTATATATATAGCCAATGGGGTCTAGCCCAGTGAAAAGGGCCTTAACTTGTAGACCAATGGTCTCAAGTTAGAACCTCATTGGCACCTTGATAGTGTGTGGGAGAAAACCCCCCCTTCCCCAATATCGCTTGTATCAACAACAAAAAACTTGATTAAAACATATATGTACATACGCACATACGTATGTACTTACGTATGTATGTCAACACTCTCCCTAGTAGAACTATACCTGCTCATTGGGCCCAACTTGTTTTGATACAATGCTGCGTATCTGTTGACAGTCAGAACATATTGTCAGTCGTAGTTCAACAAACAGAACATAATAGGTTTTACCAAGATTTAAAGCAAAAAACATACGCTTGGCTGCACTAAAAACCCAAAAGCAGAAAACAGAGTAGCGGCATAAGGAACCTGCAAAGTTTGAAAATGTCTCTCAAGGACTTTATAGAACAAAGGACACTAAATATGTGAAGAAACATGCAGTGGTGAAGGGAGTTTGCAAGTTGTTCAAAAGGAGATTACCCAAACTGCCCATGATATGCTGTTGAGAAACATCTGCACAAGACCAGATCTAATGGTCAGAAACGTATTTGAATGAAATGTGTGATGATCTCACCATCATGAATTGACAGTGACAAAAGTAATTGGAGGGCAATCATGGAAAATATGGAAGAGTTGAGGGCAAGGCACATACGTTGAAACTGCCCAATAACAGCCCAATTGAAAGCAACTTTTCCTCTCCTATAACAGGTGCCAACATAGGCATGAAAAGCAGCTGCAGAATTCACAAATAGCAGAGTGCTTTTAGAAAAATTAAAAAGCTGAGAAATATATAATACACAGAAGAAAATTATGTAGCAGCATAAGGTTTAGGTATAGCTAGCCTGTGAAACGGTTCCTGATATCCCCACAATCAACATCAGATCAGCAAACTGGTTTTTGTTGAAGTGAAAACGAGCCTTCAAGAAATACTGCACGGCAATGGAAATTCCTCAGTCAACTATATGAGAATTTATTTCAATGGCATCAATTATTAAGAAAATAAAAGAACATGAAATTTGGCAAATTAAGGTGAAAAACTAATGCACCATTAGTGAAGCTTGCAGGCCACCCTCTGCCAGACTCTGGAAGAAGGAAACAATTGCTGCTTGTGACAAGGTCTTACTGCAAATGCAACACAGGGTTTTACAAGTTATAGCTTTCGAAGATATTGGGAGGATTTTCGCCATGGCGGGTTATCCATACAAACTCTTACCTGCTCCTCAGCAAGCAAATCAAATCCCCTGCAGAAGGAACCTTCTTATACACTTGTTTTGTCTCCGGTGAGTAGCCATCTTCTTCAATGGCATCTGATCCTCCCTTCAAGATAGGCTGCCTCAAAGTACCATCCCCGCCCGGCAAGCTCTCCTTGAGAAAAACTCTCATGTAGATAGTTGCCAGCATTGATGTAAAGGCAGCAACCTAAACCAAGCAAGGACTTTTTAGAACCACATCTGGTAGCCAAATTGTTGGCTAAATAAGGAGACTTGAAGAAAGGCTAGCCTTGTTTGTGCTATTTGTTAGAGCTTAAGAAAAATTTACCTGAAATGTTGAAGCAGTGGAGAGGAAACGAGCTGCTAAGGTTCCACATACAAATGATGCTGAAAGAAAACCAGCTAGAATTCCGAATGCAGATACTCTTTCTCTCTCAGAAACAGTGTCTGCCTGAAATTGAGAAAGTTGCCTAGTTCCAATTAAGAGCTCAAATTCCCCTACTCAATACAGTATTAGTAATTTCTCAATGATATCCGATGATCAAGATAAATCATGTGAAGCTCTTTTGTTTTGAAGAAGTTTATTCTTTTTTTTACAAAGCAAATAACATTTCTTATTGATTTGTCTTAATTGGAGCGTGCTAGTGTCAATCACTCAGAAGAGTAATAACATTTCTTGTTGATGCACGGTAATAACTTGACGTCCATATATATATGCACCTATACTAAACTTACCACATAAGCAAGAGTAAGGCAGTTGATGCTGCCTTCGCATACCATGGCAGTCAATGTCCTCAACGCAAAGTAAGCATAAAAGAAGTTTGTCTCCCTGCTATACGCCAATATCACTGCCCAATAGAGAAGAGGCACACGTAAGTGCCACCTTATTCATCAACATTAGCAATTATTACTAAAAAGACAAAGTAATAGACAATCGATGCCCCCACCAAAGATGGGCACTCTTTAATTATCTTACTATTGAACAAGGACAGCACAATTTTTTTTTAAAAGTGAAAGTTAGGTGTTAATCAGCCATTGATCAATTATATTATTGCATATGCAATGGGAATTGGAAGTAGTGGGTGGGAACCACAAGGTGTGGTGCGGTTGGCAAATTGTCATCTCCCGTTAGCGAGTTACCTAGTACCTCAATGACAAAGGTTCAAAACCCGTTGGAAACACTTTGTGACAAAGGGCAAGTCGAATCCCGAGCGGTGATTAATCACACCCTTCGAGTGTGAGATCATCTTGTGATATTTTTTAAAAAAAAATAAAGAAGTAGTGGGTGGGGTCCGAATCTCATAAATACTTAAATTGAAAGTTGTTTTGGGACGTCTATGAGTGAGTGGGCCTCCTGACCATTTATAAAATCTGAATTGTAGCGCGAGAGCAAATAACTTTGACTATTGATATAACATTAGATTTCATGTGAATCAATAGTTAAAAATCGCTCATTATTCACATATCGACAAGCGAACCAAGCATGCTCTTTGTTTTTTTCTTGTGGGATAATGAGAATATTAAAGATATGGAATATGCTTAGCTCAAAGATGGGTACCACGCTTTAAGGTCCAAAGCTAAAATGGATACCGACGCAGGCGCATGCAACAAAGCACTAAAGAAAACAGACAAGCACATTAAGTGTAGGCAAAAAGATATTTATACAAGTACCTAGTGGAATAATGGAGAGAGTCAATGGGACCGTGAGCAGAGACTTCCTCCCATACACGTCCGATAGGTTCCCAATTAGCGGAGTCATCACCACCGTCCCCAATCCTATGATCTGAACCACACACATATCATATATATGCAGGCATCAAATTAATTAGAAAGATTAATATTATATATCCTTCCTCACATAGTACTTCATTTTGATAACAGAAGTGAAAATTCATCTACACATGTGACTTTAAAATCTCAATCTTTCGGTTAAAGTATATTAGGCAAT